AGCCAGTTTGTAGGCAAGCCAAGCAACCCATGGGCCAATTCATAAAATTTACATATCTCGGCTTGACCCTCATGAGCTTGGACCACCCATAAGTCAAGTTCGATTAATGAGCTCATGAGCAATCCAAATCCACTTTTACACATAACTTAACACTCAATTCTTATATTAAAGTCTATACTCTATAGATATGGATTATGTTAAAGAATTGTAAAATGTCACATATCCATGTGGCATGTTGATCAAAGTGGATAATCGATAATTCACATTTAACTAGAATAAAAATAAATTAAGGAGAGGAAAAAAAAACGAGAAATAAATAGATCAATTTGATGGCTTATGAAAAACAGTAAAACACGCTTCGCAAAATCGATTGAAACAAAACTCCCAAAAAAAAAAAAACCCGTCTTAAGACTCTTAACACGTCTCTTCCGAATTCCTATTTCCAAATTCCACTCACCCACTCATAAATGCTCAAAGTCGCCGCCTCAATCCGTCGAAGCTTCTGGTGAGAAAGGCAGCTTGCGGTTCGTCGATACACTAATAGAGAGAGAGAGAGATTCATTTCTATTTTCTGTAAAACTGAAAGCTGCCTTGGATCTGTTTCTCTTTCTTGGCTATGTATGTGATTTTAATGCTTTTGTTTGAATTATTTTCTAGGGTTCGAGATATTTCTTTTGTTAGTGTTTGAATTATGGGATGTAATTTTGAAGAGTCTTGTAGAAGTCAATTTCTAGGGTTTCTGTTTTCGCTGGGTAATTTGATTCTCTTTTTTTCTTCACATTGGCTTTAAGAGGCCTAATCAACCATTTGTTTGGATTATTTTCTAGGGTTCAAGATCAGTTGCTGAATACCTTTTTCATTAGTGTTTGAATTGTGGGAAGTAATTTAGAGATCTTGTAGAGGACAACTTCTCTGTTTTAATCGGATATTTTGGTTTTCTCGTCTCTTTTCTTTATCACATTGACTTTAAGACATCTAATCAAGCATTTGATTGTGTGATTTCTTCGTCAATTGTATGTTGGTGTTTTCTGATATAGGGTTTACACTTGCTGAGTTTGCATTTGCTACAACTTGGGTTTGCCATTTGCAGTTTTTGTTGGAGGTGAAAAGCTAATTGATTTTTGGTCAGTCCGGTGCAGCTGTGGGGTTCCTCTCATCAGAAGGTAAGAAACCCGTATCAAATTTGCATTGTGTTGTTTTCTTAGTTTAATGTTCTTATATTTATATATATTCTTTATGTAGTATTGTTCTGTGACAAGATGTTTCTAACTGAACAAATTTCAGAGACAACTTCTAATCAGGTTGATTGAAGGTATCCTAGAAATTTATGTCTTGAAATTCTGTAATCACACTCTGCCTTACTTTTCCAAAACAGTAATTGGCCTGAACAGGATGAGGTCTATGTACAGAAATCCTTGTTTAGTAAATCATGCTTGGTGTTTCAGGGACTAAAAATCCTGCCAAATGTTAATTATGTATTACTCCATGAATTAATGTCTATGCACTTGATGCTTATACCTTTTAAAAAATGATATTAGTTATTAAACGAAGACGAGAAAGCAAATTTGGAGTACTACTTGAATTCTTTTTCACCACTTCGCTTGGTTCATTGCACCACTCTCCACGTGGGCAGCATCTTCAGCTAATGAAGACAACTGATGTAGCTATATAGGATAGGGAGCCCCACAGTTAAGTTTCCACCCGACACACAATGCGAATTGTGGTCCTCCCAAACATCCTACCTTCTCCTGAACTTGCACTACCTTCACTCTTCCTCTCTCTTCAGCTCCGGCTCCTACGCAACACCAGCAATTCAGGCTGCTACTCCCACTTCATCTTACAATGTTCATGTGTTTTAGTGAAGTCCATGCTCAAAACTGACTTGTGTGCTATATATTTTAATTGAGACTCAACAATGATTGTCATGGATGAAAATTTTGGTACAGAAAAGTGTTTAATGGTCAACGGTGATATTAATGTAATTTTACTGCAATGGTTGTAAAATGTCATTTTTGTCTTGCTACTTCTGACGTTTGTCTTTAGCAACAATATTGCAATGTTGACATGCCTTGGTTTACTAGAATGATGAGCATACACTTGATTTATGTTCCTAAGCCCTTGTTTGAGCCCTATTTTTTGGGGGGTTTTTGGAATAGTGATTCTTTTTCTTTTTCTTTTTGGGATTTTTTTTTTGGAAAATGTGTGGTTAAAATGTATGTAGAAGTTTTGGGTATGTGTGGTTAAAATGTATGTAGTAGTTTTGGGTTTACATGAAAAATTATTTTATTGGGAGAATGCAAGGTTGAAAATGAGTATTGGGAAAATGGGGCTCAAACAAGGGCTAAATCTGTTTTCTGATCTTGAAGATGAGTTGTTATGTGTTTGTTCTTATGAATTTTTTTATAAAAATTAGCAATGAAGAAAAATATAACTGAAGATCCATGATGCGTTAATAAAAGTTATCTCCTCGTGAGTGGGAATTTGTGTTGGTTATTACTTATCAAAGAACTTTCACACGTCTGTAAATGTCTACACACTTTGAAGAATGCAATTGAATTTTACAATGAAGTTGATAATCAAGGTTTATTGATTTCAATACATGTTATACTGCAAAATATGATTTGGTGCATGCTTATTATGGAAGCATTCCATTATGATCTTTCTTTTAGATTAAAAGTGTCTACCTGGAATGACTGGATGAGCTAATTTGTAAACGTGTATAAATGTTTGGCAGACAAGGCGGTCAATGAAATGACAAACAATAATTGTTTAATTATGCATGCGTAGCATTCTTGTCATCTTCTTGAATTCTACTTTTGTCCTGACTTAAGTGATGTGAAAGAAATGAATAACTTTGTGTTGTATGCTGCCCACCTGAATTTTCCTCATTTTAGTCAGAAGTGTTCTCATCATCGCTGTTCTTTCCTTGGTCATCTTGCTACTTTGATTATCCTACCACTACTAAGAGTTTGTGTGCCCATCTACTTTCACCTTGAAACTGATATTAGTTATATCTTTGTTCTTTTAGATTAATTTTTTCATTTTGCTCATGTTACTAGTGTGATTTTAATTTTTTTAACGGATTGATTATAGTGGTGGAAGAACTAACATTGTTTCCTTCTCTTCTTTGAGATGAACTTCTGGTCATCATCTTACCAAATGCAGGTAGAGTTGTCTTTTACATCTAAATGGATGCCAAAAAATTTATGCAGTTGGTTGAGGAGAAAAAGAAGAGAGTATTGGCGAAGAGAGAAGCCCCCTTGAAATGGGAGCAGAAACTTGAAGCTGCTGGCAAGGCAAAAGCTGATGCTGAAGCCAAAGAGAGGAAGGCGAAGGCTGCTAAGCACAAGAGAAGATCCATGTCAGGGTCAGATAGCGATAGCGTCTCAGACAGTGGTGGTGAGGAGAGGAAGAGGACTAAAAAATCCCACAAGAGAAGAAAGCAAAACCATTCCAATTCAGGCGACCATGAGAAGAGGAAGGATAAGAGATCCAAGCACAAGCCAAGGAGGCGATCCTCCAGTTCTGATTATAGCAGTGATGAATATGATAGCGATTCAGAAGAGGAAATAAAGAAGCATGACCACAAGAGACACAGGCATGTTCATACAAGTTCTGATTCTAGTGCCTATGAGAATGATTATGCTGTCAGAAAAAGAAATAGGACAAAGCATCACAAACATCATCGGCGGACTGAGTCTAGACATCCAGAATCTTCAAATGGTGATGATAATGATGATGATGCAACCAAAAGAAGAAGCCATGCAAAACATCATAAACATCATAGACCGGTAGACTCGAGTTCACATTTTTCCAGCGATGAGGGGACTAAGAGAAGGAAGAGTCATGCAAGACACAACAAATCTCATCGTCAAGCGCATGATCACGACTCTTCAGATTCTTATGAACATGGACGTGGCAGGAGGAGCAGATCTCTGGGGAATTCATCTGATGACAATGATGAACCAGGTAGGAAAGAAAAGCACAGGAGTCATCATCGACGTGGTCATCACCACCATCAGTGTAAGAATGGACACCACCATACGAGTGAGCTGCAAGAGGATGAAGATCCAGCTCAGCAGCCTGCAGAACCCAATGGCGAACGTGTAGAACATGTTTCTGAGGCAAATATGCATGGTCATATGAATCGACATGGTCAAAATCCTTAGATTCTTTAAACAGACACTACTGCTCGTCAGTTTAATTTGTACTGTGGCGTTAGACGTCGTACTCTTGACATACTGAAGATGACTGCCATTGTTTCCTGGATACTAAAAAACACATTTGATGCAGGACTATATTCAAATTGTGTTAATGTGAGATCTCTGATTTTGAGCTTAATCTAGTGCCGTTTCTAGTGCATATTGCTGCCATTCTGCTGATCCAGTGTTTTAGAAGAATCGATCTGACGGACTTGCTTGAAAAATTCCAAATGCTTCCCACTTGAAAAATTCCAAATGCTTCCCATGAACCATCATCTCCCCTTAATACTGAAGTAAAACAGACTAGTGTTTCCAACAAATCAACTCATGACATGTATGTGATGCTTTATAGAACCAAAAGTATTTTCTTTCCTGGGTCGAAGGTCTGGCATCGAACATAAAACTGAAAATCTAAGCTAAATTTTGTTTTTCTTTCAACAATGCGAAGCAAATGGTGGATTTATGGCAGCGAAACAAGATTATCGGTTTCTTATGTATTGAGATCATGGCTTCATAGTTCATTCTCTTGCTATGATAAGCTTGGATTCCAGGATCACCCTTGCAATATAGAAGAGGGAATTTGTTAATGATGTTAATTGAGCGAGCCATGCTAGTGGTACATCGGGGTGTACATCACGGTGTACACCCCCCTCACATGGGTAAGGGACCCACTAGAATATTTTATTTAGTGGACCCCTCCATGTGAGGGGATGTAAACCTTGATGTACACTTTTTGATGTACATCTAGCATTTTTCTAATTGAGCCCCCTAGAGAGGAAGATGAGTTCTTCCAGCCCAGCCCTCGCCCCACCCGATGTGAATGGTAAGAATTTCATTTGAACTAAGAGAGTAGAGATTTAGTTCATACATGATGTTTCAGACAATTCCATAAACAATAACTGGCCCCTCTCTTAGAATTTAGAATATTAATTACACATTAGGACCATTAACAATAAAATCCAGTAGTAGCATCATTTTTCGAGAGGAATTCTAGTCAAAAAATAATTATCAAACAGAATGTGAAATTAAGAATACATCATGATATATGTTTATTTTCATATCAAAAAAAAAAAAAAAGAATACATCATGATATAGAAGAACACATCATTCGAACCATAGAAGACGGTAAATGAAATCCAACCTTCGATTCTGAGTTCATGGGACGTAAAATTGCCAATTTTCCTTTCCATGAAATAGATTTAAAGATTAGCTGCTCCCATTCTACCATCATCAAATAGGACTCTAATTTTCACCAAAATTGGTTAGCTTAAAATGCGACCTTTACCTACTCATTGAAGGTTGCGATGTGTAAGGTGCAGTAAAAATTGGTTTTATTTTGTAGCTTTAAACTGAACTAATTGAGTATCAGCAGCTGAAAATGAATGAATGCGTGAGGTAATTACAACAATACAACAATGAAACCTCCAAAATTATGGTTATCAGTTCTTTAGAATCTTCTCACTTGATACTCCATCGCCCACAAGAATTGAAGTAACCTCCTGCAAGAAACAGACATCAGGGTCATTATCTCAACACTACAAAAATCAATAATTCCAATTTTGAACATTCTAGGACATTAAATATACACCCAAGTATCATTTCCATTTTCTTTTTCTAATGAAAGTTGGAGAAATAAATCGGACAAATAATAGAGCATCTTGTATTTAACGGGTAAGTTATCAATATACATGTTTTACATTAATAAAAGGGAGGCACCGAATCCAGCAATGGTTACATACATACCCAGCTGCTCGGTCACTAGCATTGGTACTCACAGTCAAACCCGTTGAGAATGTATCCTTCTTCATTCATGAGGCTCGGATCAAGATTCTACTGTCTACAACCTGAATTTGGGCTTTCTCGACATTTTCGACTAATTCCGCGAGTTCCACACGATTCCCCTTCCCGGGATCACGTCTTTTGGTATCAGAGTTTGGGTTCCAGATTCAGCCAGTTTGATTCTCGTATGTTTTTCACATCTTGAATCATCCATATCATTTTTTTTTCGTTTTTCTTTCCAAAAAAAAAAAAACTCACGTAAAGGATGGATGGTGTTGGGGGCATATTTTCCAAACTCGGTGTTTTGTAGGTAGTACAGTATGCAGTTTGGCTATTGTTAAGGAGTACATATCAAACTTGGCTAGTATCACGATGGTTGAAAAATTGAGGTTACCTTTACTACAACACCATAGGCCTTATAGGATGACTTGGTTGAAGGAGTGTAGGAAGGTAGATGTGACCAAGCAGGTTCTATTGAATTTCACCATTGAGAGATATAGTGATGAAGTTTGATGTAATGTAGTGCCATTAAAATATTTTCATATCTTGTTTGGGAGACCTTAGAAGCATGAGAGGAAGGTTGTTTATAATATGGGGAGGAACGGGTATAGGTTTCTTCAGGACGGGAAAAACATCAAACTAGCTGGCTTGACACTAGAACAGTCATTTGCAGACCAATGGAAGGTGAGAGGTGAAACGAAAAAGAAAAAGCAAGAGAGGGAGATGACCACACCAAAAGAGAACATCAGGGTTGAATTGCAAGAGGAGCCTAGAGATAGGAAAGTTGAGATGGAGGATGGTGAATTGAAAATGCAGTTAATATTGGGGAGAGAAAACAAATAAAAGCGGAGCACAAGAAAGATGGTAAAAAAATCGTAGAGATTGTTCAGCAAGAGAATGAAACAATTGTAGAAATGATTCAACAAGAGAGTGAGTAAACGAGGGAGAACATTGAGCAGAATGTTGAAAATATTGTGGGAAGTGAAGGGAAGAATCAAAAGGGTATCATTGTTAAACATGATGTGGAGGCAATACCTCATGAGTACGAGGAACCATATTTTGTTTTTGGAGAAGCTAACAATTTCAACCATGCTTTACTTAATTCTTTCTTACAGGTTGATATTTGTACTTGGGAGTTCATACTGCAGCAAATATGGCTGATTGAGTTCATACTGCAAGACATTCATATCTACAAAGTTGATGGAGCCATGGCCCATACATTGATCCTATGCCAGGAAAGGACAAGTTTTCCATTTGATCCAGGTGGTGCGGTGATAAAACTCGTAGCAGATTGGTTATCCATTACACGATCACAAGGCACGAATTCGAGGACAAATCCTTTCGAAGAGAGAGGGGATGATATGATCTGGGACATGCAATACATAAAAGATACGGGTTTCCTTTTTCGCGAGTTTCCTTATTACATTAGAGTTTTAATTTGGATGGATATCTTATGTCATCCTTTAGCATCAATTTCGTGTAGACTAGGGTTTTTATAGTTTTTTATAAATAGTTCTCATATTACTCATTGTAAAGATATATTATTTTGGTGATTAATATTATAATTGAGGTTTTCCTCTCTATTGGTTCTTGATTGAACTTTCGAACTTATCAAATATTTTCAATATTTGTGGCGTTCAAAATCTTAGAACTTATCAAATGATTAGGCACCCTTTGTGGCGTTCGCAAATCGAGGTTCTTGTTTCCGCATATCAACGAGTCTAAGGTTTAATATACCTTAGGTTCTTGATTCATGAGGCTCGGGTCAAGATTCTACCGTCTACAACTTGAATTTGGGCTTTCCCGACGTTTTCGACTAATTCAGCGAGTTCCACGCGATTCTCCTTCCTGGGATCACATCAAATACTGTCCCTACCTCAAAAGTAGATCTCACATCAATCACAATATGTTTAGAAGTCATCACCAAACAGAACTTCCAGTTTCAGAATGTAAAAGCAAAATTATTGAATTCCCCTTTAAGAAACAAATTTTACAATACTTCAGCAACAGAAAAGTTAAATTTGAAGGTAGCTAGACATAAGACTAACTTCTTTCAGTAGTTCTATTCTATAATGGAAATCATTTAACTCCAAATACACTTCGCATCCCAAGAAAAAAGAGAAGAAAAGAGAAGGCCATGAAACCTCGAATATGTGAAAAGAAAACAAAATTAAAATTCAACTTCTAGTGGAAACTGAGAGTATTAATATAGCCAATTATATTTTCTTCCTTGCTTAATTTTTTATGTTAGCTAATGATTTTGACAATAATATAAATCTACTTCATTTATAGATAATGTGACACTTTCAAATTAGCAATATACATGTTGAACTAAATATTATTTTCAAGTGTTATTTCTTAAAAGTAAGTATATTAAGAGCAATTTTACTTTCAAAAAAGTTCAAGCACACCAAAAAAGTTAACTGTCAATAGTATTGTGAGCCAAGGGAGTAACACTCTATTTCTTCCAAAACATACAAGAAAAGAAAACAAACATGAGCAATCTCAACTATAACATTTGAACCTATAAAGAACTACATTAAATCTTGAACTCTCATTAATAACAGGCCAGATTTCAAGTCACATGCAGAGTGAGGAAATTTAAAAATGAAATGCAACACTAAATTTATAACAGAGTAGCCATAGGAATGAGATAGGAAAGGCAATTGGAAGGTTTTAAAACAAGGCTTAGCACGCAACTAGCTAGTCAGAGTAATAGGAAAAAATTCATAGACCAATGCAAAAGAAGTATCTACAAATAACAGCTTCAAAATTGTTGGCATTGAACAATAACAAACCTCAGTCATCTGTTTTTGTCCACAAAGCACCGCACCAGTAGACTGGGGGCTAAGATTCTTTTGGCTCTAGCAAATACAGCCTGCAAATGCAGTCGTATCAGCACGTGTATTTGATTCTAAGTAGTGCAATAAAATTAAAGTAGCCGCACCCAACCCGATCAACAGGCACACGTGTCAGAGAAAGGTAAAAATGAAAACATGTTTTAACTACCTGCACATAACCTTGCTCCCCTGTCCAGCTATTATCTGGCTGAGAATACTGGCACAATATCAAATCCTGATGAATTCCACTCTTTAAACTTTTCCTGCAAAAGTTGAGATAAAAAACTGATTGAAATGAGACTTGATAATATTTAATCAAATATTTTTGCTCAGATGTACAGGAATAAATTCCTCAACAATAAGCAAGAAACTAAATAGTACCTGATATGCCATCCTATTAAGATTTCTAACACCATAATAAAGTCTGACATCAGATCTCTTCTCAGCACCAAAACCTGATTCAATTAAAGACCGTATTGGGCTGCACGTGAAAAGGATGGAAGAAATAAAAATAATGGATAAATAAACATTCATGCAAACAAGAAAGTTAACTTCCAATCTATAATTGCACATGATAAACATTCCCAATATATGATACAGAAAGTACAGAACAGAAAATGGAAGAAATATTTCACTTAACCACTCTTGAGAAATTGATGGGCATCGTGAGAGAGGCAATCACCAGTAAGTCAGGATCAAATTGAATTAGGGTTTTCAGGACGGTGAATGCACTACACCTGTTCTCCACAATCTTTTCACACTGTTTACATTTTTAAAAGTTTTTAAGAGATCATTCTATAATCCGAGTTCTTTTTACAGAAAAAGACCAAAAAAAATAAAAATTAGCATGGCAATTGGTATATTAACATAACGGAATTGTCGCGAATAACCATAACATAGCAATGAACCTGTGAACTACGAATACATTCAACCACCTAAAATTCAGTCATATATGAAATTTAGCCCCTGTTTGAGCCAAATTATTGTAGAATGAGAATGAAAAATATAGTTGTTATTAGAGCCCACACAAGAGATAAAAAATTTGAATTTAAATGTTGATGTGATGGATAACGGTCAAATTTTTAATTTTAATGAGATAATAAGGTGGCTCAAACGGAGCCTTAATGTAACCAACATAAAAGGGGAGCATCACCCCCCACTACAACTTCTATCAAATCAACCTGAATCGGTCATCATTTAATTTAATGATTTGAACAAATACAGAAAATGAAAACAGAACATGTGAACTAAGGAAACTACATCCGGTATAAATACATCAAAAGAATGTGTAAAGGGCGTCCACATATATTTATTTAATAACAGGTACATTGCAAGAAGATATGTTAGCAAAATACACACAATAAACAGAACCTAAATGTATTTGCAAGACCAATCTCAAGACTCACCATTCAGAGATGAATATTTCCTAATACATCATCAAAAAATTGATTCCGAATGATGAATGTTAATGTTTTCTCTGACTTCCATAGAATTTTTTCAATTCATTTTCTTAGCGGCAGTTGCTTGTGTATTGATGTGCTTACCTAGTAAGGAGATACGAGTGAGACTTGATGTGTCTTCTTCTTGCTGTATTTAACAGATTGCTAATTTAGATTAATTCAGCCATATTGTGTTCGGTTCAACAGAATTGAAGCCTCCGTACGAACTCGTGGAAATTCTACTCAATTTGAATTGGTTGGAATTCCTAGTCCCAAATCCATTGCTGTTAAATATATTATAATCACAAAATTAAGTTAAAACACGTGGAAAATTTTTCAAGAACCCCTAAGATACTATAATTATTGTGCGTTGAGCACCACAGAAGCTCAAATAAACCAGAACAAGACTTACCAAGCAACCTAAAAGTAGTGGCTAATTTTGCCATAAATCCATTACACAAACAACTGCATTTACCCAAATTAAGAAGACGAGAAATAATTCGAACTAATTAAACTGAAATGCTTAATTAATTTGATGTAATATACCTACTTCCAGATCCCGTGGCGAAAATGAGTACCGTCTGATAATTCTCAGCTGGGGATATTTGATCAATATCAAATCCCTTACCCATTGCCTGACTCAATTCTACAACTTCACCTTTCTGGAGCCCACAAAGGAGCTCCACGGTGGACCCCGTGATGGATTTCACGACGAACTCGAAAATCCCCTTCGACTCGGCGGTAGAAGGTGGAGACGCAATTGCAAGGAAGGATGGTTTTGTATTGGTGTCCTGGAGGCGGAGCTGGAGGTACTGGCCAGCCTTGGTGTACGAGAAGGCGAGGTCCGGGGGAGTCAGAGACGTCGATGGTGATGTGGAAAAGCGACTCGGCAGCTGGGGAGACTTCTAACAGCGTGGCAGGGGTCCAGAGAGTTGTGCCTTGGCGTACGGCAGCGGCGAAGACAGTGAAGCCGCGGAGGTGGCGGAGGGGTTTGAGTTTGGAGAAGGTCATCGGTGGGGAAAGGAATGATTTGGTTTCGCGCGGAGCGTGAGAGGAAAGGTGGGCGGTTGGAAATGGCGAATGTGTAATAGCAGACATTTTGGAGGGCTTCATTAGTAAAGGGACTAGAAAGCGCCGGCGCGAAGGGTGCGCGGGATAGGGGATGAAAATAGTGTGACAACTGTTAAAATGCGCCGTGGGTTAATCTTCCACGTTGCATTTCTTGATAAGTAGTGGTACCATTTTTTAGTATTTGTCATTTTGATTAAATTAAAAATCCCTTCCACTGTAACACAGTGCACATCATCAGTCACAGCAACACAGCCACTCGCTATACACAGTGGATCCAACAATTGTGCAGAATGAAAACTAGGCACAAGTGAAAATGGATTATAGAAAACATGTCCCAATCGCAGCATCCAATATGATATAAATTTGAGGGAAAAAAAATATACAAGTTCGTCTGTCTTACCCCACTCATTATTTCACGTGCTAAAACACAAGGAGGCTTCTCGACTCCACAATCCCGCTACCGATGAAATCTTAAAACAGAAAATTTGGAAGACAAAAAATGAAAACTCAAGATGTTGGCATAGAGCCAAAGATTAAATTATTTGCAAATATCCGTAACATGATGAATTCATGAAAATTTTGATCTATCTAAGAAGCGGATTCCTTGGCAATCTTCTCTGCCTTGGCAATGACTTCTTCGATTCCTCCAACCATGTAAAACGACTGCTCTGAAAGGTCGTCATATTTTCCATCCAAGACTCCCTGTTTAACACAATTAACAAAGAATCAGCATCACAATTGATGACCAAATTTCACAATAAATAAAGGTCGTGAAAATTGGATGGAATAATTCCTAAAATCTTTCCTAAGGGATTAAATCAACGATCATAAAACAAGGGACGTGTTATTGAAGAAAAATAGGAGCTACATTTCATTTAAGTACATCTTGAACGGTATAAAATAGTGTAAGAAGAACATGAGCAGGAGTCAGCATTCTAACATGATCTGGGCTGGAGCTCAATTCAAGACGTAAAATTGAGTAAGAGAATCGGAAAATAGACTTTCAACACATTAGATCCCACCATATCCTTTTTCTACTGCATAATATGTAGTACATTTACTTAACTAATAATATCACATTGATACCTTCGGAGGAGATGATAATACAAGGATAACAAAAATTATTAAAAAGGAAAGAACATATGCTGCAGAGAAATTTTTGGTACCTGGAAACTGTTAATGCTCTCCTTCAACTCAACGTATTTGCCAGGGGCACCTGTGAAAACTTCTGCAACATGGAAAGGCTGGCTCAAGAACCGTTGAATTTTCCTAGCACGTGCAACAGTCAATTTGTCATCTTCACTGAGCTCATCCATTCCAAGAATGGCAATAATATCTTGAAGATTCTTGTAGTTCTGAAGAACTTTTTGTACACCACGGGCTGTGTTATAATGTTCTTCTCCCAAGATGTGAGGAGAAAGCATACGAGACGTTGAGTCAAGTGGATCGACAGCAGGATAGATGCCAAGCTCAGAAATCTAGTCAAAATAACAATTGAAACAGCCAAAATTATAGGGTGAAAAAGAAACATCTTTTATGTAAATTTCAAGCAAGTCTAGATACCTGTCTTGACAACACAGTTGTAGCATCCAAGTGAGCAAAGGTGGTTGCAGGAGCTGGATCTGTCAAGTCATCGGCAGGCACATAAATAGCTTGGACAGATGTAATGGAACCTTTCTTAGTTGTAGTGATACGTTCTTGAAGGCCTCCAAGATCTGTAGCCAATGTAGGTTGATAACCGACAGCAGATGGGATACGCCCAAGCAAAGCAGACACTTCAGAGTTAGCCTGTAATTTTTCAAGGAAATAGAGTATTAATAAGAAGTGATTCTAACACAAGATTACCTGCTCAAGAATGATCTTAGAAATCATCCCTACCTGGGTAAAGCGGAAAATGTTGTCAATAAAGAGAAGCACATCTTGCCCTTCAGCATCTCGGAAGTGTTCAGCCACAGTCAGTCCAGTAAGTCCAACCCGAGCACGAGCACCCGGGGGCTCATTCATTTGACCATAGACTAGAGCACATTTACTATCAGCCTGGTAAATTAGTTGATGAAGTATAAGGAACACACAAAAACCGGATAAAATATATAAAAATGATGACAAAAATTAATTCATACAAACCTGCTTATCACCTAGCTTAATGACACCACTCTCAATCATTTCTCTGTACAAGTCGTTACCCTCTCGAGTACGTTCTCCTACACCAGCAAAGACAGAGAAACCACCTGACAAGGAAACAAACAACATATAAGAAACAGAGCTTTAAGCCACATTGGAGCTCAAAAAATATAATGCACAGAACAAAAACTAACCATGAGCTTTTGCAACGTTGTTGATCAGTTCCATGATAAGTACGGTCTTTCCCACCCCAGCACCACCAAATAGCCCAATCTTCCCTCCTCTTTGGTATGGAGCAAGAAGGTCAACGACCTGGGATAACATGCAACAGTGTTAACTTGCTATAATATAACCAGATAAACTTGAATGCACGTGAAGCAGGTGAATGCGAATGACAATCATCTGGATTAATGAAAAATACCTTGATACCAGTGACGAGAATTTGTTGTTCAGTTGCTTGCTCCACAAATGCAGGAGCTTCACGATGAATTGGTAAATAGTGATCGGTTTCTGCAGCAGCATCCATTTATTAGTAAAGCCACAACCTTTCTTTAGTCAACAAAAAGATTTCCAATCTTTCAAGAGATAGGTCACTTACTAATGTCGCCTCTCTCGTCAATAGGCTCTCCGATGACATTCATGATACGGCCCAGAGTGGCTCGACCAACAGGCACCTATCATCAAAAGGGGAGATACAAAATTACCATTATTCACAGAATAAACACTCCCATGCAACATAAGTTATAAAGCCTGTTTGAGCCACATTTTTGGCTAAAATGCATATTCGAATAATAGATTGATGAAGAATGTTAAAAAATAAGGAAAAGTTCTGAGTTTAATTGTAATATTATTTTATTGAAAAATGTGTGGTTAAAAAGAAGGGAGGAAAAAATGTATTTTGGAAATAATAGAGACCAAACAAGGGCATAATATAAGTATAAACAGATTAACAACCTAAGAAATCAAATTCATCACTAGAAGCAAAGATAGCGTAAACAACCAGAAGGTCAACCACAGATGAGGCATACAACATTAAGTCTCCTAATTTTTTGGATCATAAAAAGGATAAGTTATTGGAAAGCCAACAGGTATATTTCAATTTAAACACTTCCGTCCTAGGAAACAAAGGCTCGTCAATATCCAAACCTCTAACCCAGACAACAGTCTTTGGAAGCACAGCCAAAATAACTATATCATCTCAACAATAAAATTTAAAAATGCTTGAGCCAGTAATGAGTTGCTTTTACACAGCAAATGCTGTTCTCATTTGACAATAATGTAAAACTACACCAAAAAAAAATAATAATAATAAAATATCACTCCTTCAGTGATAGGACAAATCTTAAACTTGAATCATCAGGCTTGTAAAAAGAGCAGTACATATTCACATATAAACAACTTCCACTATGTCAATACATCTACGTTAACGAATAGTAAAAACTCCATACAGCATATCTTTATGACCAACTTCAAGCCATGATGACTAATAACCCATCTTAGATATTTCCTGAAGTGTCGAAGGCTCAAACTCCAAAAAATTTAAAAGAATGATAATAAACGAATTTTCAATGCATCCCATGCATTCAATTTACCTACAAACCAACCAAACCACTTCTTGAGAAGTGAACAGAAGAACCTAAATATCTCAGCGTCAAAACGACCCCCAAAATAAAATTCATGTCGAAATCTAGATCTAATCCTCGTATCTCACACAAACCATGAAAAAACCTGGTCCCATTTACAAAAAAGACCAATCAAACGCAACTAAATTTAAAAACATGCTTTAGAAAATGCGGTCCATCACCAAAACAAACCTAGTAATCAAAGGAACAAAAATGTACAATAAATGGTTAAAATAAATCTGGAATGATTACTCACGGTGATGGGTGAGCCGGTGTTGAGCACACGCTGCCCTCGAACGAGCCCTTCAGTACCATCCATAGCAATACACCGAACCACATTCTCACCCAAGTGCTGGGCAACTTCCAGAACCAACCTGATCTGGTTATCCAAAACCTCCAAAGCCGTCAGGATCGGCGGAAGTCCTTCATCGAACCTCACGTCAACGACAGCACCAATGACTTGGCACACATTCCCGATCGCGCCTTTACCAGTGAATTCATCGGTGATCTTCCCACTGGGTCCACCACTCGTAGCTTCAGATGGCGCCGATGGAGCTGATTGGGCAGCGGCAGAGGTGGCGTACTGAGCAACGCGGTGGAGGAAGTGTCCGGCGGGGGAGGCGCGAGGCCTGGGCTTCGGGGCGGAGAATATGGAACTCGAGAGACGATTACGGGAGGCCGATGAACGGAGAATTGAGGCTAAAAGCCTCCGGGAAGCCATTGCAGAGTGCTGATTTTTCGAGAGATGAGAAAGAGACCGCTAGGGTTTGTGAAATCTGTATATTATTATCTCGTGAGAGAGAAGGTGCGTCCACACTGTGATTTGTGTGGGATAAATTTGCATTTGGCAGTTGCAATGAAACGACGTCGTATAATCAGAACGAGGAATATCAACCACATGTTAATTTGTTGACTCTGTCCAGTCATACATGATGTACACTTTTGGTGTACGTCATGCATGACATTTCTCTCACAAAAGTGGAGGGCCCGCAATTTAAAAAATCATGAGCTCCACTCTTTTGTGAGAGGATTGTCAAAGTTAATATACACAAAAGTGTACAAATGTGATTACTCTCCTTTTTTTTCTTTTTTGGATGGGTGATATTATTTGTAATCGTTTACTATCGTAATCGTTTTACGTGACATACATATGATAGTTAGTGATTTGATGTATTAATGTTTTAATTTTTTTAGTGATTGTCGTTTTACGTGACATACATATGATAGTTAGTGATTTGATGTATTAATGTTTTAATTTTTTTAGTGATTGCAAGTAGTATTATTCTTTTCAAATTTTTCTTAATTAGATTTTTCTTCCAAAAAAATAAAACAAGGTGATATATCCTAATTTGAATTATATTGTTATCATTTTTGGGGGGCCTTATACAAGCATTAATAATTAAACAAGGAAATTAATGAAATGAGGTGAATGATTTCTAGGCTGATATGAACAATTGAATAAAAAACAGTATGGAAATTTGCCAAGTAGAAATAGGGTTTTCTTTTGTTTTATCTTTAACTTTACCTTCAGAGCCAGTCCTGAAATTTATGATGTCGTAAGCAACAAATTGTTACGAGGTCCTTAAATATAATTTTTTTAGCAAGTGTAGAAATGTCTTTAACACCAATCATGGTCATTCAAAATCCAATGTCTCTATAATTATTATCTGTTGATTCTATGTGATGTGTTACAGGTTACTTAGAGCGTATGAAAACAAAATGAGAATGCTTCTTGCTACGCTAATAGTCCCAGATTCTGGCAGCAAAGTGGAGATTGTAGGATTCGAACCCTGATATAATGGTGTGCTGCCAGAAGAATTATCAAAGGGGTGTTTTTCTGTTATAACGTTTTATCACATTCCATTGCTAAGATGGTGACACGTGGACAGATCTGGGGGGGTTGGCTGATCCTTCTGGATGTGTCTTAAACTTACCCTTACCGTTTTTGGATCATTCGAGATACTCTCCTGCCTCTAACCTTTTGAGAGAAAAACTTAGGGTTTCTTCGTCTGGTTTTCTTCTCTATTCAAATCTTTGATTTTGAACCTGTAATCGTGAGAGTTTAAATCTCTGATTGTGATATTCTGTGTGAATATCTGTGAGAACTAAGGTTCTACTTCGAGTTGTATATTAGAGAAAGTACTGAGGAGTTTCTCGAGTCGTATATTAGAGAAAGTACTGAGGAGTTTCTTAGTGTTTCGTCCTAGATCTGTTCATGTGTATTTGTGAGATAAGTGTTCTTTCTTTATCTATTTGTACTATTTGAACGATTTGTAACCTTAGTTGCCAATTTGGGGCTGTATAGTGCAATTGCGCATTATCCAAATTTGTTGGATGCTCAACGGGGGATGCAGGCGTTTGATTTGGTCGCCGAACCTCCGGGGCTTAGGCCGAAACAATTCTTGTGTTGATTCTTTAATTTCTGCACTCAGTATTTTATGGTTTTGGTTTAATATTGTGTGTGCCCTGGCCTTACATTTATAGTAGATAGTAGTTTCTGTGGGATGATATTCAAACTTAATAAATTCACTTTATTATTTGTAACGATCGGTGCACCTGCAAAATTGCACAAATACAATTAAAATTTATTTTTTAATTTATCTAGGTTTTAGAATTTACGGTTGCAATCTATTTCTTGTTGGAAGAATGCCCATGGGACAACTGGTTGCAGCTCTTAAAGATAACAGTGAATGCCCGAAATTGTGGCCATTCGAAAACTTATTGATTTCTCCGGATTTCTC